AAGTATTTCATTTTGGTTTTGTTCAGCGTGGCAACAGGGATATAAACAACAATAAAAAAGCCTACCTCAAGCGGGGCGGGGGTGTGTGTGTGTACAAAATCACGATGTGTGTGTGTATGTGTGTGTGTGTGTTGGAGAGGGCAAGCCAGGAGGGACGGGTAATAGTTTAGTTCCAGAGGGGAGAAGTCTCCGAGCAGGCATATTCCAAGCACTACTTCAATGTGCCCAAAGTCCATCCTGGGAACTTTTTAGGTTTTCTTTAAAGGCAGTGGAGACGTACTCCCCATGCGATGCCTCGCTTGCTCCATCTCTGCCCGCTCCTTTCCCTGCTTAGCTTAGGCTCTCCGGAGGTGCATTTCAGATTAGATGATGCTACGTTTTGGGGGTGGGGGAGGGTGTGTGTAGTGGGGGAGAGATGTTTGGATCCTCGGGTAGGAAAGTAGGACTCACAGGGAGGAAGTTGAAGATAATTTGCATGGTAGCCCCGCTTAGGAGCAGGAGAGACCCAGGAGCAAAGCGAGCCACTTTATTAACTCAGGTTCCGTATATATGTGTGTGTGTGTGTGTATTTCATTAGATATGTAGTTATTAAAAAAAAAAAAAAAGAAAAGAAAAAGATCAGATCAGAAGCGATTGGGGTGTGACTCCAGATTTAGTGCAGGAGGAGAAAGGGTTTTGCAGGGGGCCACGGGGGGAGTGGAAGTTGCATCTGTTACAGGAGAGGTTCAGTAGCAGTGTCTACTCCAGCTTGGTGGACTCCTGGCAGAGAGAGTCACTGGTAATGGCATTACTGGCTTCCCAGCTTTCCAGATGCCTTGGCGAGTTGTAAATCTTGAACTTAACGGCATGTTTAGCAGGCATCTCTTCCCCCTTCCTACTCACTCCCCTCCTCCCTTCCACCCTCAGGAAATGCGAATGAAAATATACCCTGACAGTGCAAAGTACCAGTTTCTCACAGGCTAGAGAAAACGTTCAGGGCTTGGGGACTGGGGACTCAGTCCAAGTTACAGGATATTTCTTCCTTCCTTTCTTGCCGGTCGCTCCAAACACCCTTCTCATTTTTACAATGATCAGTGTAGCCCTCTTGAACCTTGCTTTCTTTTCAGACTACCTTCCTAGAAGCCACATCAAGGTCTGATGGGCATCATTTAAACATGACGTCTGTACTATAATAATTATTAATAATAACAATATAATAGTAAGAAGCACAGGGAAAGAAAGGTCCTGGGAGGTTTTGTCTGACAGATGAGGCATAGTGAGAGTAGCCACTGGGCTTGTGTGTGCCTGCATGTGTTTGCAAAAATTGTCTAAGGTTTCTGTAAAATAAAAATAACAACAGTAAAAGCTACACTGAAGAGAATCACTCAACATAGTGTAGAAGAAATCTTTGAGCTAACACCTCGATAAAGGATTTTTGCGGTGGAGGGGCGTTACTTTGATTTGTTGATGAGATTTTATTCTTTTGCTATGTTCTATCTTAAACCTGTAATTAATCAGCCTATGCGCTAACTTTAATTTCTGTTTCATAGATGTGAATTCTTCCTCTTTCAGTTCAGTTTTGCTCTTACTGTATGCCTGTATTCACAGAGGCAAACTCAGGAAGGGGGGGGGGGGGGGGGGGGGAGAGGGAGGGATCATTTATCTTGCTGGGATGTGTTTAAAAC